TTTCCTTCAGGTACCTCCTTCGCGTAATGATTTTTGTTGTTCTAAAAGCCGTTCCAAGGGAGAAGGTCCAGGTCCAAACCATAAAGATTGTTGATTAAGCCTAGTCTTTGTTTGATCTTGATTTGATACATTACAACTTTGTGCATTAGATCCCCATGCATTATTACTGCTAAATAATGAGTAAGTATTTCCTATGCTGATTGATTGATTTGATTTGTTGTCTACCTATAATCATATGTATGAAGATTTCTATAATAGTATTCAAATATATATAATATAAAATACACATAAAGTATGCAACATATATATACAAAAATAACGAGATTTTATTTTAATTACATACCTCTGAAGATTTAGAACTATCAAAATTGTTTCCAGTATTAAAATGCTTCATATATTTAGAATCTGATGAATAATTGTTTGAGGTTTTCAATGAAATTTGAGGTATCATATTTCCAGAATTAGAAGAATCTTCCCACTTATGATAATTTTCCATAACGGATGTATCTTCATCATGCAACTGTATACCTCTATTTGCTGAACCCCAACAAGGCACAGAAAGCTGTGAATGGTGAGTATCTTTCCATAAACTGAAATTTGTAGTTTCATAATTTTGAAAAATTGGATAGTTTGCTGTAGATTGAGATTGATTTTTGCCCAAATGATTGGATAATGAAAATTCCAAAACATCTGAATTTTTATTATATATTGATGATGATAGTTGTTTTTGTGGTATTTGATTAAAGGCATCTTGATTAAAATCATTTTGCTTAAAATTAAACTGAAAATTCGGATTTAATGAATTACTTGGTATATTTGACACATTTGGTATCATAAGCGCAGCTTGATGAAGTTTCTTTTGATATGTATTTAATGTTGACAAAGTAGACACATTAGCAATAGTTGAACTAGTTAAAGTAGCTTGATTATGTAAAGATATTGTGTTTGGTCTAAGGTTAGTTTTCATAATATTTTGTTGTTGTACAGCTAAGTTATGATTTTGTTGAATATTCAAATTACGATTTTGCTGCAAACCAATATTTCCTGTCTGTTGAGGATTAATATTCTGGGAAGCATTTATCGACTGTGTTGAAGATAAAATTCCAAGATTTTGATGTAACAATGTATTCTGAGATACAATATGAGTTCTCTGATGCATAGTTCTATTTTGATTGGATGTATGTAAATTTATATTCTGCGATTGCGGTGCTGAACCAGTAAAATGTCCTTGAATTGGATAACTTGATAAATTTCCAACTTGATTCGTAATGTAATTTTTTGTAAATTGTGGATTTTGTACATTAAAAGTTGGACTTTGATAACAAATATTTCCTGCACATTGAGATATTCCAGATATTGAAGTTAAAATCCCGGATGCTTGCTGTTCTTTTATAGAGAGATGATTAATTTGAGTAGATTGTGACATAGTATGTTGTAATTTTGTAGTTTTTGTTAGATTTTGAGAAGACACAATTTGACTTTGCATAGTTGTTGTAACAGAAGGCATCAATGGTAATCGATTTTGAACTGTGATTGGAATAGTTGTGTTTGAAATATTATTCAGCTTTGATATTTCTCCAACAACTGATATATTTTTATTTCCACTAGGAGTAACACTTTTTGTTGGACTTATCGATATTCCAGTTACTTTAGGCTTTTTCTCAGTCTCCTCTTCTATATTTAATGGAGACACATTCTTAAAGGTAACCTGTTTTTGTTCATTTTCAGCTCGTCGCATTATAGTTTGCATTGCTATGTTTTGTCTTGGTTTCCTGGGCTGCACATTAGTGTTTTCAAAAGTATTAGATTCCATAGCAATGATTAAAGTTGTATCTTTACTTCGTTCTAATGAACCTTGAGGTTTTAAGATACCTATTCTTTTATCTAAAGCATGTTCCAAGATATCAACATCTGTAGAACCTTTACTACTAGCAGATTCCGAAAGAACTGGACTAGTAGATACAACAGACTGTCTTCCTCTATTTAAACTGAGTTCTTCTAATTCTTTCATCAATTCATTGCTTAATCCATTTCCTTCACTTATAGAACTAAATCTGTTCTCACCTTTTTCTTCTCCTAATGTAATAGTAATTAATGCAGTACCATTAATTCTATATTGTGCTAAACAATGACCTAAATGAAGGATACGAATTGCTCGCAATTTATTGGAAGCTTCAATATTATCTTCTAAATCAGTACTCGTAAATTTTAAACACTCAAAACTTTTTTCTAGCGGTAAAAATCCTTGAAGATCACGATCCTCTGGCAGTGGTACTTTAATATATTGATCATATGTGAAATCGATTACGCAATTCTGTAAGGCATTTAATAATACGCAGAGGCTGGGCCAAATTTGAAGCCTTGATGTAAAAGCTAATTCTTCCAAAACTGTGGGTTTTGTATGAATCCAATCAAGGCACAGTTTTATAGAAGGCAAAGCAAAATACTCAATAATAGAATTTTTTATTGTATAGACAGGTAACAACAAGGCAGACAAACTTCCAGCTATAAGATCCAAAATACAATCACGAGCAATTTTTTCATCAGATGTTAATTGTTCCTGTTTTAATGGTTCAGTATTACTAACAACACTTGTATGTTCTAAAGCATACAAATTAATTACAAACATTTGAACAAGCATCCAAGAACTAAAACTTTCTGTTGCAACTAAAGCTGTTAATGTTTCAGTTAATAATTTCGCATATGCAGAAGCAATTTTTAAATCTCCAAGATTGTGAATAACACCATGAAGCTTTAAAAAAACTGCTATATACTCTTGAGAAGTTAATTTTGTTTTTCCATCTATATTAACTGATGTATCATTTAAAGCAGAAGATAATATTTTTGCCAAATTTGTTGTGGCAACAGGAAAAGGATGTTTTACAGCAACAGATCGTGTATAATGAAATACAGTTGCCAATTTATTACCGCGCGATGCTTCAAGAAGGGCTAACTGATTATATGGTTGACCACTGGATGGTGATAATGATACTGCATGCCTATAGAATAATTCAGCTTGTTTACTCTCATTTCTATAACGAGCAATGTCTCCTAAATGCACAAGACAGTACTGGCATGCATAAAAACATGAAGATTTATGAGGCACTGATAATTTTTCAGTAGCTTTCCATGGTGATGTACATCCATAAATATAACCCTTCCTAAAAAGAACATGATGATTATAAAATTTGTTTCTCCATAATTCTTTATATAAATAAATTTAAAAGATTATAATGATTTTGAAAATAACTCTTTAAAATTGTTATATACTAGTTCTGAATCACCAAAATAATGTTATAACAATTATATAAAAAGATTTCAGCTTATATTGAATATGATTCTAATTTTACAAAATTATATTATTATATTGATTTCAGTTCTAAAATATCATATATTATATATGTATAATTATAATTAATGCATTGTATAAATAATATATTAATAATTGAAATTTATTTTCTTTGCACAAATCAAACACACATTTTCAAATTGATTTCAGAAGTAATCAATAATATTATTTATTCATTTATTATAATAAAAAGTATCAAAAATTATTGTAATAATAAGATATCTAATAGTAATAAAGTTTATTTATAAATGAATAAACAATACTGATTTAATATTGACATTCAAGCAAATATATATCAAAATCAATATAAAATCATTTTAAATATAATAATATATAATAATAATTAATATAATAATAATTCTATGTGAATTGAAATCATAATTGATAGGCTAGAATCTTTTTAATCTATTTGTCATAATATTATTTCGCATTTTCATAACTAATATCATAACTTTTCAATCTTTAATTTATATTTTTTAAAAAAATTAAAAACATAAGCAATATGTAACATAATTTATTTTATCTAATTACCTTCTGAATGGTAAATCTAAATCAAATGCAGTACAAATTTCTTGTAGTAATGTTAAATAAAAACCACTAGCTGCTTCTAAGCACCAACTAAGTAAAGCTTGAGATTCTCCACGTTTAGGATTTTTCCTATCTTTTGCTTGAGATTGTAAAGTTGCTATATAATTTTTAAATCCAAGATTCCAAAGTTCCTGTTCAACTTTTTTATCAAGGGCATACTCCAAATCTAATATCAGAACTTGTTGATATATTTTCTGTAATTGTTGTTGGCATACCCATGCATCGCTATCATTTAAAAGATCTCTACAACGTTGTACTTTATCCTTTAAAGGCTCTGCTTTTCTAATAAAAATAATAATCAAATAAACTTTTAACAAACTTTAGATAAATATTTTTTTATAATATATTTTTTTATAATACTTAAAAACAATTAAATTAAGTATTTAAAAACAATATTTTTATTTTTAACTTACTTTAAAGCTTGTACAGCTGCGTTTAGGCCCATAGTCTATATACCTTAAATTTCTGATATAAAATGTTTTATCTATGAAAAAGAAAAAACTAAATACACATATTATTATTCAATTTTTAAAAATATTCTGTATTTAATATTCTGTAATATATTAAATATCATATTATAATCATTATTGTAATAATATTATGATATTATTATTATATGTATTACATTATATATATATTATATATTACATGTTTTATATTATTACATATTTAATATTTAATATATTGTGTATATTATTATGTATATTATTATTATTATATATTATGAATAAAAATATGTTAAAGAATAATTTATAAAGGTTAAATTCATAATTATGTTAAAATATACAAATAATTACATATAAACTTTCACATATGATATTTATTTCAAATTATATAAACAAAATTGTTAAATAAATAATTATATACTTACAATATAATATTTAAGATATTGAATTTTCAAAATAAAATAAAATATTATCAAATCTTGTATATGATATAATTTACTTATTATATTAAGGACAATATATCTATGTATATGTATATATATTATGACTCAACAGTTAGGTTAACTATAAGCCAATGATAATGTGAATAGCAAAAAAGTTATAAATAATATTCATAATATTCATTTTTAATTCTAAAACGAAAAACTATATAAGATAAAGGTTAATTAAAATGTCTTCGAAAAATAAAAAATAAGACTTACTTTCACATATTTATGTTAAACTCAAATTATATCGCATTACTGATATGTATTTCGTTTTAATGAAAAACTGCACTGCCCTCGTATTAAACATTTATGTTAGTTTCAATCAGAAACATTAAAATTTGCTATGAATGTAAACAAAATTTGTAAAAATATACGATCAAACCATATATCAGCAAATTGTTAACATAAATCTTGTAATAAGAAAAAATTGTTAATATTCATATATTATATTCTTGATATGTAAAAAAAGATTTCTCAATGATGAGATTCGTAATGTCAAGTAGAAGAAAAGTTGCTAGTTTTGTGAAATAAATATACTTATTAAAAATGTTAACATTGGCATTTACCAAAATTTGTATTCGTCTTCAACGAAATCGAAATGAAACAAATATATATCGATCGTTTTCATTAGTACGTACATTTTTTTTATAATATACAATATTTTTCATATTGTTTAATAATTCGCTATTATTTTATTTTATCAATTATATGTAAAAATTGTTATACATATAATGTTAATAATATAATTTTATGTGAGTGACAGTGTTTATAACAAAGCATTTCAAATATTTCTTTTTTTTTTGTCCCGTAATTTTATAATAATTATTTATTTGTTTTGTTTTAGAGTCGTTTTATTTTTTTAAACGAACAAAAAAAGAAAGAAATAGAAATAAAACAAAAAGAATTAATGGCACGTGGTCTTCCAAAAGTGAAACCTTTAAAAGGTGTTAAACAAATCGTTGTTGTAGCATCTGGAAAAGGTGGAGTTGGCAAATCAACAATTGCTGTAAATTTATCAATCGCTTTAAAAACTGTCGAACCACAAAAATCTGTTGGTTTACTCGATGCTGATGTATTTGGTCCTTCTGTGCCGTTAATGATGAATATACGACAAAGTCCTATGATTAATAATGCAAATCTTATAGAACCTCTTGTAAATTATGGTGTAAAATGGTGATAAAATAATATTATTTATTTTATTTATATTCTTATTAATATCTTTAAAATTAAAATTTTATATATATATATATATATATAGCATGTCTATGGGCTTTTTAATTGATAATAAGTCTTCTGTAATTTGGAGAGGATTAATGGTAATGAATGCTATTGATAAGTTATTACATCAAGTAGCATGGGGTCCGTTGGATTATCTTGTCGTAGATACCCCACCCGGAACAGGAGACACACATCTTTCAATTGTACAAAATCTTCCAGTTGCTGGTGTATTATTAATAACTACACCTCAAACAACAGCTTTAGAAGTGACTAGAAGAGGAGCTAACATGTTCAAACATCTAAATATTCCAATTATTGGAATTGTGGAAAATATGAGCAGTGTTATATGCCCACAATGTAATAATGAAATAATTCTTTATAATGATGGAACTCGAATGATTGCAGAAGAACTTGGTATTAAAGTTATGAACACATTAATATAACATATTAATGTTATATTAATATATATATTAAATTTTCTTTTTTTTTTAGGTGTGCAAATTTTACAAACTTTTCCTTTATCAGAAGCTATTATGAATAGTTGTAATAGTGGTAAACCAATTATATTATCTGCACCAAAAAGTATACAAACTGATATGTATAAACATTTGGCAGAACATGTAATTTTCTTTTTAACTAAACAATCATTAAATATAAAATAATAATTTTATATTTTATTTTAATTATTTATTCCAAGTTAATTTCAAATATTAAACAAATATTTTATTATTCATTTAAATATATAAAATGTTGAAATAATTATACAAAAGATATTCAAATCAGAATATTTTGATTTATTTATTGTAATTATTATTATTGTTATTATCATTTCTATCTTTCTTTATATTTTATCCTCTCTCTAAATATTTCTGATTTATTTTATAGATGACTTCATAGTTAATTTATGCCTTTTGAAAGTAGGTAGTCTTAATTTATTTTAATATATTCTATATTTATTTATATTATGAAAATATATATATTATTTATTAATTATAGTGTAAAATTAATAAATAAAGAATTATTTTGACATATTAAAAATAAAAACGCATGTTTAAGTAATTAACAAACATGTTAAACTAACCTAAATATATATATTTTAGTTTTTTGCAATTTTTTTATTAATATTTATTTAAATTAAGTCAACTTAATAATATTTTAATATTAATATTAATTAATTTAACATTTATATAATAATAATTAATTTAACATTAATATTAATTAAATCAACTTGCATCATAAAAAGTATTTGCGTAAAAATGTTAAATGTATAAATCACATCTTTCATTTTGAATTATTATTTATTAATTATATTATCTTATTTATGATTAAATATTACATCTTTTATTTTATTTTATAATTTTAGAATCTAAAATGAATATTGAAAGTTCTATTAGCATTCATTCCGATACAAATGCAGAAATTTATGACATCCCAATGAATGTACTTATTCGACCTATTCCTCCAATTATTAATGAAGAAAAGGTTCAAAGTTTAATAAATACATTAAGCAATCCTGAAACAGAAATATTTGTACCGCCAATCGATGTTTTATGGATTAAAGGAAGCAAAGGTAATAAAAATTTTATTTTTTTTTTTATTTATAACATATATTATAGAAATAATAAAGAAAAGTAACTTTGCTTTTGAATTAACAAAAAATTATATTGATTTTTGACTATAAGATAAATAATTTCATATAACTTATACTAATACTATCAATATTTATTATAAATTTATTTTATAAAGATAGAATTCTATGTTTACAAAATATCTTTTTTTTGTTTATATTAAACTGTTTATATTACTTTTATTAAAGTAACAATGAGAAACATTTTATCAATATTTTGTTTCTTGAAAAATTATTAAATATTTTATAGGTTTTTTCACATTTCTTATCAGCAACAAATTTCATTTGTTTCCATTCAAAGCAGTAAAAACATAAAGTTTACAATAATTTATGACAACAAAAATAAATGCTCCTTTAGTATCATCTTGTCGTCCAATTTGCATTTTTCGTTTCTTTTTTACTTATTTATTATTTAATTTTAATTTTATTATTTTTTTATTCTTTTTATTTTATTTATTATTATTATATAATTTCTTTTACTAATAAATAAGAAGAGAGTGACAAATTTTTATCAATCATCATTAATAGTTTGGGACAAATTAATTTTGATATGGACAATCTGTGGCAAATATAAATATAGCCTTGAAATTGAAATAAAATCTAAATATTTCTATTATTGTTAATGAACAAAAAATTTTTATAAATAAATGTTTATTATAAATATTTGGAAATATATAATAATAAGAAGTGACAAAAAATTCCTCGATTTTGCTTGAATGAAATAATGAATTTTGTTTTAGAAATCAATATATAATATATCACATATAAAAATATGTTTCATATGATAAAAAAAAATAGGAATGATTTGGAAAAAAAAATATAATGAATATATATTTATATATTATGTATATATCTATATTCTATAATGTTAATTCTAATATTTAAAAAAATAAGTATATTTACTTTTTTAAGTATATAAAAAAAAAAAAAATAAGATTATTATTGGGAAAAATCTCATAAAAAAATCTCTAAAATCTTACAACATATATTTACTTCATATATTTTTTGGAAAGATATTATAATATAATAATTAAAAATTATTAAATAATTAAATATGGAGCTTAATTAATGTGATATATCTAGTATGATAGCTTGGAGTTGTATATCTATAGTTAAAATAGATAATTTTGAGAAATATGAAAAATAAATATTATAAAAATATAAAAAAAAATATTAAATATTATTGTTTAAATATTTAAAGAAAAAGTTTGAAAAGTAGTAACGAAAAATTAGGAATTTTAAATAATTTTGAATTTTATAGCAAAAACTATCTTAAACAAATCATCACATATTATTAAAATAGTTATTATATAACAGTTTAAAAGTAAATATATTTTTCAGTCATACGACTTAAATGTCTGAAAATATTCGAAATGAATTAAAAATTAAAATATAAATATAAATTTAATCTTTTTCATTCAAATATATATAATTTCAAATAAAACGATTTAAAAAAATCATTAATAGAAAAATGAAATAAGATCGAATTTGATTTTACAAAAAAATTGGTAAAATTACTACCAAAATGATTGTCTACTGTTTAATATAGTTAAGGCTACTCAACAATATATTAAATTTTTATTTTAAACAAAATTTAAAATAAATTTCTACACATGTATGATTTCTTTATATTTAAAAAAATTCATTCTTTTGCCATTATTATACAATAAATATAAATATATATATAATCATATTTATTTTTTCCAAATTACCTTTAAACTTTTTTATCACATGAAACATATTTTTATGCGTTTTATACGATTTTGATTAACTCATAGTAGATTAAGCATTTCTAGCAATTAAAATATGTTATTTAAATTATATAAATTTAGAAAAGATTTAAATGAAATCATTTTAATAAAAATATTTTCTATATTTTTAAAATGATTTATAAAATTATCAACATACATAAAAAATGTAATAAATTCTCAAAAAATATAAAAAATATTTACTGATGAACTATATAATAATTTTATAATATTATATATAGTTATATATAATAAATTATAAAGATTTAAATGATTTAAAGATTTAAACATATAGAAGATGTTAATAATATTCGTAAAATAGTCGATAGTTTTAAAAACTTGATTTTAAAGATAAAAACAAATAAAATATATATAAAAATGTCAATTGAGTTTCATTTATTAAGTTATAAACAATTTAAATTCATATTAAATGAACGAGACGAAATATAGCGGTTAATGGAGATAAAGAAATTTCATTTTATCTTTGTTTTATTGTATTTAATTAATATAATTTAATAAATAAATTTATCGATATTTTTGTATAGTGATATCTTTTTCAATTTTAGAATTGTTAAAATTATCTCACAAATATATTAACATCTATATTAGTGTAAATTGATTTATTTTTGTCATAAAACCATATTATTTTTCCAGGAATTTTAATTTTGTATAATTATATTTTTTTCACTATTTTAGGCGGTGATTATTATTATTCTTTTGGCGGATGTCACAGATATATAGCTCATCAAAGACTTGGGAAATCATTTATAAAAGCTAAATTAATACAATCTACAATAACGGATTTAAAAACTTATCTAGGAGGTTCTATGCCAAATTTAAAATAATCAATATATCTTTAAATTTTATATAAATAAATGTACGTAAAATAAAATATATCTATTTATTAATTTTTAATGCAATAAAAATTTATTTTCATATTAATTTTTAAAAGTCCTTTTATTTTTTTATATTGTAAATAATGTATATACATTATTTATTTATGCTCAGTTTTTGGAAATAATTCATCTGAAAAAAATATGAATGATGCAAAAAAATATTTCAAACAAAAGTTGGTTTGCATAAAGAAATACATTATACAGTATTAATATTTTTTCTATAGATTAATACATAAAACTTATATAAAAGTCAATTTTAAATGGAATTGTGTAATTTTTTTTATTGTATCAATTGATGCAATTATTTCTTATAAAAAAAGTACTTATTTGTTAATTATTGTTATTAGTATATTTATTATATGTTGAATGTATGAAATGTATGAAATTGTATGAAAAAATTTAAAAAATATTGTAATATAAAATATATAAAACTTATTATATGAAAGTTAAAAAGCATGCGAAATGATATTTTATTATTTTTTTTGTCTTTCTGTATATAATTATTATAAATTTCAAATTAAAATATCTCTTAAGTTAAAAGTTTTTTGACAGAAATAGCTTAATACTTTTTTTTATAAGAAATAATAAACTTCATTAATTAATGTTGATTAATAAAAATTATATAGTTCCATTTTAAAAAATTAAAATTGATCTTCACATGATTCAATTTCAATTTATTATTCTATAATTCTCTCAATCTATAAAAAAATTATTAAATTTTATATTATTAATATTAAATTATTAATTTCTTTATATCAAGTAATTTTTGTTTAAAACATATTTTCATATTATTCATATTTTTTTAGATATTTAAGTTTGTTTTAAATTAGATATACTGTATGTATAAAATTTTCATTTTGTATTATAATTGAATAAAATTTTAAATCTTAATATAAGCACTTTTATATTGAAATTATTGAATTTTAATTTTAATAAAACTTGAATGAACAATAAAATATTCTATATACTCTATTATAAAATCATATGTAAATCATATCTCTTGCAATATATACCTAAAAAATGAAAAATCCTGAGTAATACAAAATAAGAGAACATACATTTTTAATTTATAAATATTTTCAATTATTTCATATAAAATAAAATATTTATATATTGTATGTTAATATTTATTATCATTAATTTAAATATATATTTATATTTATATGCATTGAGTGTATCTATACTCAAATAAAGTTTAAATAAAAATTTTAAATAAGATTTTTATCTGTATTGAAATATATGAAGAAATAATTGATATCAAAACATATTATGGTATTATTTGATTTTGAGATGATTTTCAGATGTTAAAACTCTTGTAAATATTTTTAGTTTTCAGTTTTCAATGGGAAACTTCATTTTTTATTATTTACATTATATTTTGTTCAAGTCAATTTTTAAATATAAAATGTTTTTAGTATTATTTGATGTACAAAATGAAATACAAAATGATATGTAAAATAGTATTCAAACTTTATGAATACAATTATTCATAAAAATAATTGTATTATATTTATATATTTCATAAAAATATCTGGACATTAATATATTTAACTTTAACAATGTATCTTTGTTAATTATAAAAGAAACATTCATTTAGCACATATCAAGAAATTTTTTATTTTTGTTTGTTACATGTAATATACTCTTGCAATATTTCTTGTAATATTATACATGTCCAAAAAATAAAAAATCTTAATATTGTACTGAGCAATACAAAATAAACTAAAAAGAAACACATTTTTAATTTATAAATATAATCAAATACATTTATTAAGTTATCAAATTAAATTAATAAATCTTTATAAAATATTTTTATGCAAACAACAACAACAAAACAATGAACAAAAAAGAACAATACATTAAAAAAAAATGATAAATTTGTTTAAAATAGGAATAAAGTATATAGTATGTTGTTGATAAAAATAAATTAAAAAATAATTTTTAATATTTTAGAATATTTAAAACTAGTGCTATAAAATTAAAATGATATTAAAGTTTAAATAAGTTAAAATAATTTTTATAAAAAAATTTCTATTTTAATTATTTTTATAAATTTTTAATATATTAATATTTGAATATTTAAATATTTAATGTCTGAATATTTTTGTGATAAAAAAAAAGTTATAATATTTAATATTATTTTATTATAAATTAAATTTATCAAATTAATTAAATAAGATGTTTATACTTATATAATAAATATCTTTATAAGAAATAAATTTGAGTTTATTACTTATATACTTCTATAATTTCTTTTCTATAATTAACAAACATCAACAAATATTATTAATATTGTTAACAAGTGTATCATAAATGTTTTTCTAAAAAAATAATCATGATTATTATAACATAGTTCATAAAACTTAAAATTTCAACATTTGAAATTTTTTTCAAATTATTACTTCAAAGATTTAATTATTGTTATATTCATAAGATATTTGTTAATTTGTTGATATTTGTTACATTCAATATTATTTGTTAATTGTTTGATTTTTTGGAAAGAATTAAAAAAAATCATTCAAATCATTTAAATGATATTGATTTTTAAGAGTATTATAATATGATCGAGCAATTTCATTATATTGTATATTATAAGTAACATATAATACTATTAACACATGATATTTTGAAATTAATTTATATATATATATATTTTGACAATATTTTGACATCAGTTATAAAAACATAATAAAAAAATATGAAATGTTTTTAAAAATAAAAAAGATCTTTATAAACTTTTTCAGATTATCTCAAGATCAAATAAATATCATAATATATTCATCAATACATTACAATTCATCAATACATATTCATCGATATATTACAATTTTCATATCAATTATTTTTTTTTCTTTCATATCTTTCAAGATATTCAATTATTGTCATTTGAAACATATATATTATAATATATATTATAATATATAAAATATTTTTAAGACATATATGAAAGATTATAAGATTTGATATAAATTTGATATTTGATATAGATTTTAAATCTATATTCAAATATTAAATGAAATTATTAAGAATAAAGTGCTTTTTATCATTTTTGATAACTTTTTAAAATATATATATAATTTATTTTTATATTATAATTATAATTCATTTTTATATTACATTATTTTATATTTTATATTTTATAATTATATTTTTCTTTTCTTTAAGAAAAACTTTTTTTTATACATATCACTATTTTAGATATCCATAAAAATATTTTCTATAATCGAGAGATATCATAGTTCAAAAATTTTTAATAAATAAATATAAATTTTTAAATATATATAATATATATTAATATTAATATATATATATATAATAATATATATTATTATATATATATTATATATAATATATATATATATATAATATGTATATACTATTGTTTAGTTACGTATTGCCTTTACATATATAGATGACCATGGATCACCGAATAATATAAAGATGATTGAATAATATTTTGATTTAAATCTAATTTAAATTCTACAAAAATGGCGCTTTCAAAAAATATAAATGGCCAATTGACACAAAATTTGAAAGAAATGATGATCGATTTAATATGTATCATTATAATACAGTTATAATTTTGGTCATTCAAAATCTACATTTTATTTTCCAATAATTCTTTGGAATACTTAAATTCGATATGAATTAAACTTTAATTCAAAATCTAATCTTAATTCACATATCAACAAATCACATATATTTTTTAAAGATATTTAATTCAAAAACTACGATCAAAACTAAAGTTATATATATAGAAAAATTCAGAATTCAGAAAAATGTTGATTAAAAATTTATTTTTCAAATTATAAATTATAAAAAGTTTTATTTAATTTTATTTTAGAAGTATATAATAGTATATAAGTATATAATATATTAATAGTATATTGCATAGAGATAAATATATTTTTATAAATAAAAATTTTTTTAATATTATTTTATTTTGCATTTAAAATGAAGATATTAATCTTGATTAAAAGATTTGACTAGATGTGATACTATGATGTGATATTGCCAATAAATTAAAATTAAATCATTTATAACTTGAAAAATAACTTCATATCAACAATTTCAATTTTATATCAACTTTTATAATCATTTTGATGTAAAATCGACCCTTAATAATTTCTCATATTTTCAAAAATATCCTATATATGATTCTTAAAATATAAAATATAAGAAATACATAAAATATATGAATTCTCTTTATGTTTTAAGATTATGTATATTTACTATTTTAATATCTATGTAATATTATATATGTATATATTTTTTATTGTTAAAAATACAAATTTCTTTTTTAAATACTATAACTATTATTCACTTTCATTTTTTTTCGAAGGCATAAATTTTGTACTAGAATCTGTTTTTTTTAGATCTTTGAGCAATTCAGTTTTTACTTCTTCTAAATCGAATTCAGAAATAAATTTCTGTTTTAAGATATAAGCAATTGACTTATTATAATTTTTACTATCTTTATTAACATATATATCTTTTAAATTTTTTTTATGAAACATTTTGTGATTACTTTCTTTAATAAAATATGGTTTGTAATTTTTAGTTACATTTGCTGTTACTGCATCTGATTCATCATCTGATTGATGTGTATGATTTTCAGTTTTATTAATATTTTTTAAATGATCAGGTATGATTGATTGTTGTAAATGTAATAATTGGGTATTAGTAACTTCACAATCAATTTGCATCATAGTTATATGTTTTGGAGGCGTTGAAAATGTTTCTAAAAGAAATATTGAATGAATTTTTTTCAATTTCATAATACATATAGTCTAAATAAAAAATTATTACCATTCATAGAAAGTGTAGGAAGAATTAATGACATTCTCGGTCTGCCTGTACTATTTTTACTTGAAGCTGGCAAAAGCAAATGTTCTCCACCAAACCAAACTACATAAAAGGTATCATCTCTCCTTCCTAAGGCTTCGAATAAAGAAGCATGTTCTTTTATTATTGGAGAAAATATTTCTACTGCATTTAATATTGATGAGTCAGTTATCTTTTGAAATATTTCATGTTTATTTTCTTCTGATATGTTATGTTTAATTTTAGCTTTCATTGTATGAGAAGATGATAAAAACTTTCCTATAAATTTTGTATGTAATGTTGCTTTTTTTAATGTAGTCCAATTATATTGATAAGATTTTCCACCAATCCATTGTCTCAGTTCATAATCTAAACGAATTGATTCACTTTGATTAATATGCATCAGACACATCGGTTGTGGAATTGATATATTTTTACGAAAATTATCTTCATCTTCTTGTCGAGTTTGATCTTTAGATGACCAAAGTAATGTTCTTCCATGTTTTGCATAATGTGTGCTGATTGGAATGTCAGTAGGTAATATATCCAACTGATTACTTTGTAAAAATATATCTCTAAAAAATAATTTTTACTATATATATTTTTTTTCTTAAACTAATTTTTTCATATTATTCATTAATTAATTATCTATAACATAATTCTTAAAATTTTGATAAATACATTAATAAGAAGTTTATTATAAACTTACTTAAAACCATTAACATTTAAAGATACCATAAAAATCATTCCTAAGAGAATAGCAACATTCTTTTTATTAGCATTGAGATTTAGATTTTTAAGTTTATTATTAGTATTTGTATGTTCCAATGATGAAAGTTTTTGTTTTAAAGTTGTATTTTCCTAATAATAAATATAATTCTTTACAAAATTAAACATAATTTTATTAAATATATAATATAATTTTCAATATGCAATTTTTACCATTTTTAATTGTTTATTTTCTTGTTGTAATTCATGAATTCGTTTTTCTAATGAAGAGACATATTCTTTCTTTTTTTTTCGTGATAGACAAGCTGATTCTCTATTTTTTATCATTCTTTGTTGTCTTTTCAATGCTTTTATTTCACATTCCTGTCGTCCAATAAAATTAACATCTTGTATTTCATTTTTTATAACAATTGGAGTATAATTTGAATTTTCTGTTTTAATTACTACTGGTCTAGACACAGCTGAATCTTTTTTTATAATTACAGAAGAGTGTCCAATTTCTTCATTGTTAAGAACCAAAGGTGTATCAATCATATTTACATCTTGATTTGTTTCTGATGTATATATGTTGTTTACACTATCCATAATTTTTACATGATTTTCTTGTGGTAATTGAATTTTATTTGTTTCCGTTTTTATCTGTATTGATGGAAATTGTACTGAAGTTCGTTTATTATTTGTATTAGTTGTATGTGTCATATAAGGATATGATATATAATTTTGTTTAATTTTTTGAGTGAGTGCAACAAAATTTTGTGTATTAAAAAATATAGCATTTTGAGGCTGTGCTGGAAAATATGAAGTATATAAAAGAATAACATGTGATTTAGAAAAATAAACATTAACAAAAATAAAATTAATTAAAAAATTTTTTTAAAGGAAAGTTTTACCATCAGTGATAAGTTGAATATTATTTTTTGGTTGAATCCAAACACGTTTAGCAAAATTTTTTTCAGAAAGAATAAATTTTGTTTCTTTTGTATCTTGTGATTTAAGAGGCATAAGTTTTATTTGATTTGCAATAGTTACATTTGAAATTGATTGTGGTGATATAGGTGGGGATATATTTTGTGAAGGAGAAATGGGTGGTGTTTCTAAAATTGTCTACAACAAATTAACAAATATAATATATAAATATTATAAATTATTTCAATTCATTTAAATAAAGATATTTTTATTATACCTTAAAATCACAAAGAGAAGCAGTAGAATTTCTTTCAACTTGAGATTCTAATCTATTAAATTTATATTGATTTGGTGTAGGAGATAAAGATTGTCCATAAGAATTTGCAGATTCCAATTTAATTTCCATTTTTACATCATTAGCTACATGTAAATCTATAATTTATAGTTAATTTATAGTTAAATTATAACTATATAAATAAAAATAGTTTATAAATTTATAGTTAATAAATAAAAATCACTGTAATAAAAAAAAAGATTTACCTAAATTTTGTTGTGAAATATTTGATTCTTCAAAATTATTTGATGATTCTCCTATATATGTATTTTTTATAATTTGATTATCAACATTATTATCTATTTTTTGAGATATTTCATCATCAAATAATACAGGAATACCTAATTCAGAACTTAAAGTTTGAAATAAATCATCTGAAAAAAATACAATCATAAAAAATAATAAAATGTAAAAATATCCAATAATATATAAAGTATAATATTTAGACAAAAAAAATGATTAAAAAAAATAAATTCAATATAATAAATTTTATATTATTATTATTACAAATATTAATTTTTTTAAATATATAAATATATAATTATTTTTAAATAAGTCAAATTTTTTTAATTAAATAATGAGTTATAATAATAAAAATAAATTATTTAATCTAAACATACATAAAATTTCTTTTTCAAATGTAAACATTGTAATAATAAATAAAAAAAATATATTTCATTTAAATTACATATTACACTTAATTACATAAAAATAATTTTATTTGCAAGTGAAATGAGTTTTAATAAATTTATTATTCAATAAAAATAATTTAATAATTAATAAAAATTATATAATATATATATAATTTTTATTGTATTTATCTTATATAACAATATTACAATATATATCATAATATAACATACAATATAATATAATATATATAATTATTATATTCTTTTGTTATTAAAATTTTTATAAATAACAAGTTTATTAATTAAAATTTATCAAAATATATGTAATTATTAATATATATATATATATATATATATATATTCTATATTAAATTTATATTAGATTTGAAATATTTATTATTGTTATATTGCAATATTATATTATATACTAGTAATAGAAATATTATATTTATACACAGTAAACATTAAATTGCAATAAATATTAATATTTTAAAATAGTATTACGTACCCATAACCTCAAAATCTGAAAATGTTTGTTGAATCTCAGATTCCGTGCTATTCTGATTTATCAACATTGTTTATAACTTTCTTTATTTAAACAAAAATATTAATAATCTATAAATCTATTATTAATTAAACATTAATATTTTTTATCTTGAACAATATGAAATTGTTTTTGCCGGCATCGAATTATATAAATATGCAATATATAATTGTAATAAATAATCGATTATTAAACAACTAAAACCAACTTCGATATAAAAATGATAATATCGCTTTTAATACAATGATAACAATAATGACATACATCAAACAATTCAGATTGTAATATGTTTATATATGAAAATTACTAACATTGCTATTTAAAATTTAATGACACTTATTAAGATGACAACAATGTCATTGAAATTATAAAGAATTTTATTTTATTATGTATTTATCTCGATACCATATATACAGTTATTTAAATTGAGAATTAATTGAGAATTTATTTAATATTTTTAATACCAAATTTTAATGAAAAATCATTCACAAAATATTATTTTTTATGTTAATCATAATAAGATAAGAAATAATCTAGCAATAAAAATTACTTATAATAATTACTAACAAATATATCAATTCTTCAAAATGATAAAATAAATATTATATATTTTATTAAAAATTCAATAAATTTAATTGTTGTATTTTACATTACAAATTTTCATTTCAAATTATTTTATAAAATTATAAATTTATGTTACATTAAATAGATTAAATTCAGTTTTATAAATAAATAAAATTTAAGAAAATTATTTGATTTGAAATTTTTTTTGTTTAAAAATTTAAGAAAAAATAAATCTGTTATTTAAAACCACCAATAAAAGAACTTTTCATTGTCTTAAAGAATGTTTTTATCTGACAGAAAATTGTGATTTATAAGATTCAATTACATATTTAGAATAATAAAAACATGACTTCTGTATCATAATATAACAAACGATATAATTTATTACATGTAATAATATAATTAAAATATAAATAAATAATATTTAATAATATATAAAATTTAATTTTCATGTTAAAAAATTATATTTAATTATAACCATAAAAGTTATAATTTATTGTTGCGTACATATCTTAAAGAAAAAGTGACTAGTTAAATAATGATAAGTTAGTGAGTAATAGAATCATGTAATATTATTATTGATAAGCAACTAATTTACTATCAATATGCATATCAATGTGCTTATATTCTATGGTTTTTTTTCTACTCTATATTAGTTATCTCTCTTTTTATATTTTTAAATTCATGATCTCTAGTTAATATTACAGATAACTAATTAATTACATTTCTTATTTTAATTTAATCTATAAAATATAATTATTTTTATATTATATATAAAACGATATTTTCGTGGATAAATTATTTTTTATACATCTATAGATGATAATTTGTATTGATAATTTTAATCTTAATGTAGTCTCTTCTTTTAAATTTGATAATTTAATTGGATCATTGTAATTCGTAAGTTTTGTACGTGTTGCATTTTCATTTTTTGTTTTTGTTATATATATATATTTTCTTATATTTGTACGTATTTAATAGCTTTATTTTTGTTCAAAATAAATATGAAACAATAAAAATAATAATAAATAATAATTTTATATAGTTATATATACATATAAGATGATGTGTTATGGAAAATTTATATATTTTACACGCTCGGAAACTTTATTGTGCACAAGGTAAAATAAATCAGATTTAAACAAATATTATAATAGAAAAAAATTTTATACAATTATTTAAAAATAGTTCATGAATGAATCATTTATTTCGCAAATGGAAAATTTATAATAAAATTTTTTGTTAATAATTTTATATTTTAATTTTTATTTTACATAATAATACAGTTAATTTTAATTATAATTTTTACGAATTTTTCTTTTTGTTATTAATATAACGATAATGTTATTAATAAATGAATTTTTCATTGCTTTAGAAATTGTTTATTAAATTTTTATCAAAATGCATCAAAAAGTGTATTAAAATATATAAAAGAAACAATTCTTCCATCAAAACCAAAGAAACCAATATCTCCTTTTCTTTTATATGTAAAAGATATTAAATTCAAAATCAAACAAGAAGAATCTAATATAAAATATTCAGAAATATTAAAAAAAGCATCCAAGGGATGGGCAGAATTAAATCCTGTTGAAAAGGAAAATTTTACAAAACAATACGTAAAAAACTATGAAATATATACAAAGGAATTAAAGGAATATAATAATTCTCTTACTAATGAACAAAAGCAATTATGGGAGAAAAAAAAAAAAGAATATGAAGAATCTAATAAAGAAATTAATAATAAACAGGTACTTATAATGAATAATGAATATACCAAATTATAATGTTAATATTTTTACTTATTATTAATTAATCTAATCAAAGATTAATTACAGAAATATAAAATACTTGGTAAACCAAAAAAACCACCAAATACGTATTTATTATATTTATCATCTAAAAAAAATGAAAAAGATCCAAATATATCTTTCAAGGTATGATAAAATAATTTCTAATTATATTTTATTTTTTATTTATTAATGATTAATAAAAAGTATAAGATTACTGATTATTTTGTTATTTATTTAATAAATTTATTTTTTTTTTATTGGTTTTCATTAGGATTGGTTAAAATCAATGTCAATAAATTGGAATAAATTGTCAAATATAGAGAAGGAACCATATGTTATTAAAACTATGCAATTACAATCCCAATACAAAGAAGATTTAGAGAAATGGGAAATGAAAATGATACATTCAGGTCATTCTGATATTGTAAGACTTCAAACTTTAATGAAATATAACTTTCATAAAAATGAACATAGAAATAAATAAAATTAAAATATTTATTTGATTAATTATTTTCATTTAAAAAATTAATAATATAGATATTTTTATAATAAAAAATTAATAATTTATATATAATATTCATTGATTTAAGATATTATAATTATAGAAAAATACATTATATTTGAAAATTACACTTAATAAAATATTTGTAACATTTTAGATAAATTTATAAATTTATATGATGTTTTATTTATTACGAAAAAATAAAATTAAATTTAAAATAAATTAAAAATAAAATAAAATTTATTATAATTATTTTTTAAATAATTTATCAAAGAATTATATTATTTTAACTATAATATTCTTCTATTTAAATAGTTACTATGATTGGCAACTAGTAATATGATGATATGCAAACTTCTTTCGTATTTATATATATGTATTAAATTTATTATATAATTTGTAGTAAATTTAATATATTAATTTGTATTTAGGAAGTTATTTATATTTACTAGAGAATATAATAAATCTCTGCATGAGATCTCTGCATCTTTAAATCAGCAGGCAGCAATTGTTAAATATTCAAGTTGCAATGGAAATATTACTTAACAATATTCATAATATTATTTTAAAATATAATAATATTTTTATTATTATTTATTTTATTTCATAAATATCATTTTTCATTTATTTTTCATTAATTCTTGATTTTTCATTCATCCACAAACAAATTATTTTTTTATAGAATATTAATATGTTTATGAGATTTGTCTTTACATTTTAGAAGCTAAAATAAATATAAAAGTTGCCATGCAAAATTTCAATTGAAATTTGTTTATTAAGTTATAAGTATTTAAATATTAGCAAAGATCAAAAAAAAAAAAATGAGAATTTTGTTTCTGTCTTGCTTTATTTAATGCAAATTTATTTATAATATATTAATAAATAAATCTTATTCAATAAATTTTTATGCAATATTTTAATTTTTGTGTTTATTTTGACTTTTAGAATCAATTTTGCAAAATTTCTATAATTATTTTACTTTAAAATCCTATTATATATCCTATATATTTTATTTTAATTTATATTATTTTTCAAATAAATTCTTAAATTTCTTTCAAAATACATTAGTTATTAAAATTTTTTTCTTTTCTTTAAATATGTAGTTAATATGTAGTTAAATATATAGTTTTCGTTAAATATGTAGTATAAATATAAATGTGTATAAATATAAATATGAATATGTATTTAAATATGTAGTATAAATATAAATGAATAACATAAATGATTACAATAATTTCAACATTAAACAAATATATAATATTAGATAAATATAACAAGAGGATAGAATAAATTTTATTTTATCATTGAATTATATTCTATATTTTGTTTGTTATTATTATAATTATATACTATAAAAATTTAATTAAATATATGATATATTTATATTTTAAAAAGATTTAAAAGAAATAATTTGTTTATATATGTTCATATATAATTTACACAGTTAAAGTAATAGGAATATCTGTGTTATGTAAACAATAAAAGAATCCATAATGTATTAATGTAAAACTGAAAATATATAAAGCTAAATCTCCAAGTATCATACGACTTATTGTTATTAATTTTTTTAATCTATAAGTTAATTCAGGATTGATATTGCATAAAATCAAAGCAGTATATAATAGATTATTTTCTTGCATTTCTCGTGTATTTTTATAATTATATAGACGTCCCAACATGATTGGAAAATATGGTATTGTAATTGTCTGTAATATTTCAATTAAAATTTAATATAATACATTGTAACAATTTTCATTTTAATAATATATATATATATATATAATTACCTTTCCAAATAAATGATCCAATTGTAATATTAGTAATATATTAACAATAACAGCTAATAATATGTAATTTATACGATTTGTTAATAATAAAGGTGATGAATTTTTTGACCAATTAAAAGTATTGTCAATACCTTTAAGTATAATATTAAAATTATTAAATTTATTCAGAAAATAATTTCAAAATAATTATTTTTATATATATATATATGTTACCTGATATTTCATTATTTATATGTAAAGATGAAGTTTCTTTTTGTATGTCTTTAACAATGATTTGAGCTAAAATAAAATAGTTTTAATAATTAAAAAATTAATGAATATTAATTTTTATTGATTATTTAAATAATGAATAATCAGCCTGTATTATCTGTTTTATACAATTGTAATTAATAAATAATTAATAAATAATATATATAATTGTAATTAAAATAATATCTTGACAAAAAGTAGATATATATAATTTTTATTTCAATAAATTTATCAAAAATATTTTCATATTTTCAATAATTATAAAACAAAAAATATAAAATTCGTCATTTTGACGGGTTCTTTTAATATTAATAAAATGAAAATATTTTAATAATTTTATAATATATGGGATTGATAATTATTTTGATACCTTTTGATTTATTATCGTCTTTGCCAGTAATTTTTAATAAACGTTTTTCAGAATTTTCTAAAATTCGTCTTCTTCTAGCATTTCGTTTTGCATTGACATCTTCCATGTTATTCTTGTTATACTTTACTTTAATTAAATATTAGAAACGAAAATTTATGCTATTACACTAAATTTATGCAAATTCAATAAATAAAATTTATTTCTTCAAAATACATACACAATACAGAACAAACAAATTGAGAAAAGTTAATAGTAACCTTTGAAATCTACAAAATTTTTATATTTGAATAATATATTAATTTGTTATATTATATTTTTAAAATTCGTTTCCATATCAATAATTACTTCTTTGCTAATTGCTTTTTTGCTATTAACTATTTAATTGAATATTTACAATAATACAGAAGATATTAAATAGAGATTATTTATTAATTTAATAATTAAAATTTCAATTAAATTATTAAACACTGCTAAATATCATAATTTTGACATAAAATCGAAAATCATTATCTGTCTATATCATATAATTATTGTAATAATTATTGTATATATTATATGTAATATTATTATTTTATATAATAATAAAAAAAATAATATAATTATTAATAAATTTTAATACTTAATTTAATTTTATGATATCGAATTAGATATAAATAAAAAAAATTAATCAAATAACTGAAGTTTTTTATACAATTTTAGTTAATATTTAAATATAAATAAAAATATATAATATAAAATGTTTAATTTAAATATAAATTAAGTTATGTATCGCATAAAATTTTGAATGATATAATGAAAACGCGGCATACATTTTTAAGCAAGTATATACTTTTACCTACACTTACATTTTTAATGAAATCTGGCTAGATTTAGCGGTTTTTGGCGGGTTAAGTATACTATTAGTATTGAATTTTTATTAAAATATAACAATGGGAGATAAAGATGGTGGTAAGAATAATATTAATTACTTTGTTACGTTTTCTAATTATTTCTATAATTATAATTGTTTTAAAGAACATTTTCGTATTATAATATAACGACAGAGTTTTTTAAAATAAATTTCTAAGAAATAAAATTTATTTAAAATATTGTTTAATTTGTCAATAATAATTTAGTTTTTGTCTATGTATGGTATAAAATGGTGTGAAATATTTTTATATTCTAATCTATAATCTATAATAGAATTATATTGATTAGGTTATATTATATCATAAAAAGAATATGATTTTCATTAGTTAAAATATTGATTTTTTTTATTTTTTGTATAGTGTGTTTTTTTTTAAATGTATTGATTGAATTACTGATTGATTTATAATGTTTTTATATCAAACTATAATAAAAGATATTTGAATTAGGTAATTTTTTATTTCGAATATTTTTTTTGTATATTGCATGAAAATTTTTTAACTATTTATTCATATTTGTAATATTTATGTGAATCCTAATATTTCTTAAATATTTTATTAATCTTATTGTATAAATTATTTTATTATAGAAACTTTTGACGATGCTGTAGAAGAAAGAGTTATTAATGAAGAATATAAAATATGGAAAAAAAATACTCCATTTTTATATGATCTTGTAATGACGCATGCTTTGGAATGGCCATCTTTAACTGCTCAATGGTTACCAGATGTAACTAGACCAGAAGGAAAAGATTATTCAGTACATCGTCTTATTTTGGGAACTCATACTTCAGATGAACAAAATCATTTGCTTATAGCTAGTGTACAATTACCAAATGAAGATGCTCAATTTGATGCATCTCATTATGATAATGAAAAAGGAGAATTTGGAGGATTTGGTTCTGTTAGTGGAAAAATAGAAATTGAAATAAAAATAAATCATGAAGGAGAAGTAAATAGAGCACGGTATATGCCACAAAATCCATGTGTAATTGCAACTAAAACACCATCCAGTGATGTCCTTGTATTTGATTATACAAAACATCCAAGTAAGCCAGATCCTAATGGTGAATGTCAACCTGATCTAAGGTAAATATATTTAAATATGTTTATTAGAAGATATAATTATATAATAGTGATTTTAATATTTCTATACTAGATTAAGGGGACATCAAAAGGAAGGTTATGGTTTGTCATGGAATCCAAATTTAAATGGATATTTACTTAGTGCATCTGATGATCATACAATTTGCCTATGGGATATTAATGCACCTCCTAAAGAAAATCGTGTTATAGATGCAAAAACAATTTTTACTGGACATACTGCTGTTGTTGAAGATGTAGCATGGCATCTGTTACATGAATCTTTATTTGGATCTGTGGCAGATGATCAGAAATTAATGATTTGGGACACAAGGTAATTAAATATTTATATTAATGATTGATAAAAATAAATATTATTATAATGAAGTTCCAATTATTAATTGGAAGTTGTAAATATATTTTTGTATTTCTTAGATGTAATAATACCAGTAAACCAAGTCATACAGTTGATGCTCACACTGCTGAAGTCAATTGCTTGAGTTTTAATCCATATTCAGAATTTATTCTTGCAACTGGCAGTGCTGATAAAACGGTAGCACTTTGGGATTTGAGGAATCTTAAATTGAAATTACATTCTTTTGAATCTCATAAAGATGAAATTTTTCAAGTTCAATGGTCCCCACATAATGAGACAATATTAGCTAGCAGTGGAACAGATAGACGTTTACATGTATGGGATCTCAGTAAAATTGGTGAGGAACAATCCAGTGAAGATGCTGAAGATGGACCACCTGAATTACTGGTATATAATAACATAGTTATATTTTTGATAAACAATGTCGTTGAAATTTGTTGAAAAAAGTATTTTATTTAATTATATTTGTTATAGTTTATTCATGGTGGTCATACTGCCAAAATCAGTGATTTTTCATGGAATCCTAATGAACCATGGGTCATATGTTCTGTATCAGAGGACAATATCATGCAAGTATGGCAAATGGCGGAAAATATTTATAATGATGAGGAACCGGACACACCAGCGAGTGAATTAGAAGCTGGCGCGTCATAAAATGTATAACAAAAATAACCGATTAAATTATTTCATACTGAAATTTTCTAACGTGTACACATATATGTGTGTTCACATAAAATCAATCCCATTTAGGATTAAAAAAAAATCGGTATTTTAATTAAACTGAATTTATACATTTAAACGATAAAGATCATCGAGAAGCAATAATATCTATTTTTACTATCAATCTTATGTCTGCTTATATACATACATGTATATTAATTCCATATATATTTCCATAATAAGTGTTGCATATGAATATTCGATATTTTATAGAAATAATTGATACTTCATTGATTCTAATATGATATATACATTATGTATAAATTTATACAAAAAGTTTTTTTCTATAGATTCTGTAATGAGTTGTAAATTTTTATGTTTATATATAAAATTTTGTGTATTATGCAATAGAAGTGTAAAATGATTTTCAACTGAAAAAAAAGTAGTTTTTTTTCCAATTTAAACCATTAAACATATCTTAGTTTTGAAAAATAAAAATATTAGAGTATTATTATGAATTAATAGAAGTACATTTATATTAAATGAAACAAATTAAAATATTATTGTAAAACATTTTATCAATTTTTTTAAAATTAAGTACAATCACATTTGACATATTTAATAACATCGCGACAATTCTTTTTTTAATTTATTTTTATTTTGTATGTTATATCGTTAAGAAGAAATATAATCCAATCGAAATTACGCGAAAAAATTTCGAGACGAAAAAGATTGAATTTATAGTTTTTATGAAATAATATTTTATCAGTTTTCTACTTTTTCTCGCAGACATAGGTAACTTTTAATATTTAATAACTGTCTTTTAATATTTTAATTAATAAAATACATTACATTTGTAACATTTGTGTCTTTTTTTCAGTTTTTGTGTCTTTTTTTTATCTTTTATATATATTTTTTCTTGCGTCTTTTTTTCATTTATTATTTGTTTTTATATATTATTTTTTTATATTAAATTTTATATTAAATTTTTACATTTAATTATATTTAAATTGAATAATTATTAGAATAGAGATTAGAACAATTTTTCTAAAGAAACATATGAATATAATAATAGTAATAACAAAATAAATATTTTTATAATTATATAGTTGTATTCGAAAGTTCGTTATAGATTTCGTCAAGTAAAGAATTTTTACAAATGGAATATCGTCTATGTAAAGATGTCATATCAATGTCGATACTATCGAAATGTATAATTCTGTAATATGGAAAAAATAAGATAAATTAGTTTCAGAATTTTATATTAATTAATTAGATGGTTCGTGTCATTACCAAAATCTGCATGTCAAATAGATGTCGCTTATAGAACGCGATCTTTGCCTGTTTGTACATGCAAAATGAATTTTTAGCAAAATATTGAAAAAGACACGAAAAAATAATTTAAATGTTCTATTATACATCAAATTACCTCTTATTAGCATTTTGTCGTTTAATATTGTCGAGAAAGTTTACAATGGGCGGCGTTAAGATTGGACGAAATAACTATAAAGAAAATTAAAATTAAAATTAAGTAATTTAAAATAGAAAAATATAGAATTCACACATACCGTAACGGGAGCACTTCGCATTTCACGAAGATCAATATTTCTGAATAAATCATGAACAAGAATTTCCTCGATAATCTTATGACGATTAGATAATTCATCAAATATGAATTTGAATAACTCGATGACCTGCATACGTAAACATTTCAATCAATAATTTTGGTTAAATAAAAATTGATATTTTAATATATTTTGTCAAGATTATCTAATCTAACTTTTTATTGTTTAATTTAATGTTTAATTTTTTATATGTATTATTATTATAAAAAACATTAGTAATCAAATATTATTAATGTAAATATTTGATCACTAATAATATTTCTTATAAGTTTATTAAATATATATAAATTGAGCAATAATCTAATATTATTAATAATAAAGCAAGTAAGCAAAAGAAAAAAAGATAAAAAGAAAATAATAAATAACAAGAAAAAAAAATATGATTTATACTTGAGGATACATTTCAATATCCGATAGATGAACAGAATTTGGCTTAAATGATGGTAATTCGTAACCAGCGCACATCTCAAATAGCATGTGACCTGGAAGATGACAAATATTCAAATTAATATATTTAAATTGTAATTGAAATTGATCTTACCAAAACATGTCATGTCAATTGAAATAGTTTGTGATATTCGAGAAAAAATTAATGGATGTATTCGACTGGTAAAACCAAGAAGCGTATTTTCAAGACCAGCGAGACGTGCGACACCATTTTGAATGAGCACATTTCCTGAATGCAAATGGATTACAGTCGGAAATCCTCTTTCTTTTAAAAAAATTAATGCTTCCAGTATTTGACGTCCCATTTGTTGAACTTGAGGTAAAGGAAGTCCTTTACCATGAGAACTATATTTTTGATTCCAATCTTCATTCCAACCTGTTCTTTCGATCTATAAATCATTTCAATGTAAAAATATAAAATCCAAGCATTTATTTATTTTCTTCAAAAATTTGTTTATTATTCAATTTATCATGATTACTTACCCCATATATCAAATCTTTCAGACTACCTTGACTTATTGGTTGAACTACAATTACATAATTTTTATTATCATATTCAAGAAAATCGATATCAAATACAGGGCATATGTATGGATGTTGCAGGGCTAAGAATAAATCATTCAAAACATTCTTCGTCATTGGAGTTATATTCAATAAACAGTTTTTAGTCAATGGAGCTAACGTAATCAATCGATCGGTTTTTAAAGAAGTATCTCTGACTATGAACCAATGTTTGTCCATTCTAGAACCTATAAATTAAAATAAATTATTTGAATAGCAATTCCTTCGTTTTAAAAATAATAATAATATTTTTATATTATGTTGTCATATTAATGTACTTTAAAATTTATATAAAATATTCGAATGATACAAAATTAAAAGATAATTTTAAAAATTAAAATAACCAAAAAGCTAATATGCAAAACTATTATTTAATTTTTTAAAGATCAAAGACTTCATCTTTTTGAGATAAACAATTTAATCATAAACAATTTAGCATTAGATAAAACTAAATGAAGATAATAAAATAAAATTAAATTGTTTATAAAAAAATAAGTTTTAACAAATATTTTTGTATATCAATTTTTGCATAATAATTTTAATTTCTAAAATTATTCTTTAAATTTTCCATTTATATTTTTTAAATATCTCATACATAATTAATAAATGTAGAAAATCGAATTTACCGAGATTATTTAACTGTTTAACGAAATTATAACGTGATGTTCTACAAATATAAGTTTGACAAATTGATAAGGCACGATCCCTGGACCTCTTCTCCATTTCCATACATTCGCCAAATTCCATACTTTCACAAATAGATGATCCGTGACCCAATTCTGTATAATTATGTTTTCCATTCCTATTTTCAAACATAATAAATTCATTTAATTTCAATGTAGTTATCTGTTTATTTTACGGAATAAGTTATAAATAACGAATTGAATGCCAATGACTTTGATTGAAATATTATTAATATTATTTTCATTAATGATAATCATTGATAGATTGTTTTTGTTAGAATTTTAATTAATTGTATTTAACTGTTTTTTTTATACAAAATGAATAGAATTAACAATAATAAGATTATAATATTTAATTAAAAAAAAAAGAAAAGTAAAAAAAAAAAAAAGAATTTAAATAATATTACCAATCAACAGTATTGTTTTCCGCTTTATTTGAAAAATTATAATTGCGCTTATGAATTATTTCTTGCGTTGATGAACGATTCCTCAAATGATACCAATAACAAATTAGATGCAGACACCAACGATTACAAATTGTATTGGTCGCATTAGTATTATTAGCGAGCAACCATCGTTCTCTACGAATACAAAGATTTGATCTTATAAGATGATAATTATATTAATATATAATTATGTTGATATTTCAAGAATAAATTAATTAATTCATTTTTTATATTTTTAATTCATCTTTTTATTTTTCATATTTTTCATGTATTTATTTATTATGTCTTTTTTCATTTTAACTTTTTTTATTTATTTCATTTTTAGATTAATTCTGAATTTTAAAAAATTTAGAAAAATAAAAAAGAGAGAAAGAGTCACCTGCGTTGTTGTACAATTGGTATTCGTTTTTTTGAAGATTGCAAATTTTTTAAATAGTCGTGATGACGATCAATTATATATCGTGAATCATGATCGTTTATTTCTGGTGTCATTGAAGAAAAGTTTAAAATTTCACTTTTGTTATGTTTGTCGCTCGAAATGTGATTGATTATTGACTTATATTAAGTGTTTATATATTCATGTATCATTCTGATTAAAAAAAATCAGTTTATATACAATCAAATATCAGGAATATTCAATGAGTCAAGGTAGCTATTTGATAGTAAGAATAATATCAAAATTAATCAATATGCATCTTTAATAATCATAAAGGTCTAATATTAAAGTTTTAATATTAATAGTAATAATTTGAAAAATATAATTAGAAAAAGTGGCTGACCGATATGAAATTTGAATAAGTAAAGAAGAAATAAACGTCAAATATAAAATTTTAGTTTGAATATTTATTAGTTCCTAAAACATTAATGAAAATTTTTCAGTATTATATTATGTATATTATATATTGAATTCGTGACTAACGTAATCATTTTTCTGTAGAAATTATTATTGATATTTAAATTGCAAAAATAAAATATAAAATAATCCTTGAGCGATCAAAATTACAATGAATATCAGCATTATTTTTGGTTTATCGTTATAATGTTAATGATTTTTGTAATTTCAATTGTTCAAAAATTATTTTATTTTATTTTAGTATTTTGTGGATTTAATGGATTGTTTCTATTTAAAGTGTGTTCAAAATAATAGCTATAATATGTTAATATTACGCGTCAAATATTTTTATCTGCAAATTAGTTTTTTTGTACTCTCATTTGTATGTTTGTATATTTGTATATTTGATACCGTATTATTATTTAGTAAGTTAAATTTCATCATTTTATCATTTAAATTTAATTTCTGGAGAACTAACTCAGATTTTATCATAACAAAATGATTGTATATGGGATATTCCACGTATATATATAACCGATTGTAAGTAGATATTCAATAATTGGCGATAATAAATAATTATCATTTAATAACATTTGGATAGCATTCAATATATTAGTAATATATTCATATATATGACATTCAATATATAGTCCCTGATTAAAAAATTAGAAAAGCGCTATTGTATACATCTCTTAGTCAAACGAATTAAAATTTTGAGTGAATGAAAGGAAAAGAAATCTTAAATATAAAATTTTATTTTTCGAATATTAATAAATCAAATATTAATATTAATTAATTATATATTATTAGTTTTCGAGATATTAATAAAAAATTTTTGGTACGATATATTTAATTCTGTTATACATATATACGCGCTTAACAATATATGTATCAGCATAATGTATCTATTTCTATAAACACATCGCAACAAACAGTATTCGAAATGTTTAACAGACAGTTAAACAGATAAACAGATTTATTAGATTTTATTAGAAAAAATTTATTAGATTAATGGAGATTTCTAATATATCTCTATTCAGATTATAATTATATAATAGATAGATTCAGATTATAATAATAGATAGGTCAAGAATAATTGATACTCATTGTAATTTCAGTTATTGTAATTTCGGTCGCACAAAGATTTTATATTTTATTTTTGTATTGCGTAGAATTCCATGAAAACTCGATATTAGATTTGAGACATTTTAAATCCATCATAATCTATAAGGAAATAAATTTTTAATCAGTCTATATATTTTGGATATCGCATGCTGCGATTTATAAAAATAATAGATGATCGTAAGCTAATGCATATATTGTCAGACATTGGCATATAGACAGAATTCAATGTATTATATCAAAATTTTTTTATTAAAATTAATTAATTTTTATTAAAATTTTTTATAAAATTTTTTCTCCCATCTCTCAAAATTTCAATTCATTTGGCTAATCAATGTATATTGCATTTATCCAAAATTAAAATCATTCATAATTTTTAACATTTGATAACTATAATTTGATAACTATTTGAAATAAGAAAATTTCTTACCAATGATTTTTAAATATATTAGAAATTATCATTTTGAACTTTTTAATATACAACTAATCATTAGTTTTCGAAATATTTATAAAAAAGATTGTTACTATTATATATATTTTTTTTATGTATCAGATAAATTTTTCTTATAAGCATATATTTATTACATAACATATGAATTACTTATATTTATGTTTCTATAAATACATCGCAACAAATGGCATTCAAAATATATGGATTTAATATTTTCTCATGTATTATGATGGATTTAAAATATCTTAAATCTAAATTATATCATTTTTAGATTCGAAAAATAAAAATAAAAATTTATTAATATATGCACAAATATAATATAAAACAATCTTTAGACAATCGAAATTGCAATGATACAATGATAGCAATGATACAATGATAGCAATATCAGTATCATATTTGGTATTTATCGTTATAATTTTTATCATCTGATAAAATATTAATTATTTATACAATTATAATATAAAAATATATAATAAAATATATATAATATATAAATATATAATATATAATATAAAAATATAATATAAAAAAGTTATAAACAAAAAAATTAATAATTTTTTTTAATTTTTTTAAATTTGTTTTTTAATGTAAAATTTTAATCAATAGTTTAAATAATGCGATGATATAAAGAAAGAAAATAAATATATATATATTTTTTAATAAATACAGCTTTCTTGTGTTGAATTTTCAAAAGTAGAAAAATTTACATTATATATTTTTTTTTATTATTAAACATTAACATACCAGATGAGAATAGAAACAAAAAAGAAACTTATATATATATAACTATTTTATAATTTTTTTATTTTTAATATAATTCTCACACTTCTTTATTTTTTTTATATATTAGATAATAAACAGATTTAATAAAGTGTAAGTGAAAATATACAATACATGTATAAAAATATAATATAATGTATAAGTAACAAGTGAATAACATTATGAAGTACTCTTCATGGTAATGAAATTTTTCAGAAAAGTATTGTAAACATAAAAACTTATTACACTATTTATATATAATTGTAGTAGTGTATAACTGTATAATTGCTATATATAAAATGAGGCGGTTATACGAAATTTTATTGCAAAAAAGCGAATTCTATAGATTTTCAAAATTATTTAATTTCTCATTAATATATCCATATTTATATTTTTATTAATATTTCTTATATCATGTGTAAGTAGCAAATATTGTAATATCATTGTAATATCTTGGTGACAAAAGTTGATTGAATAAGAAACTGTAATTTAATAATATTATTTCATGTATATGTAGATCATAATTATATAATATAACAAAATCGAAAAATTTCTATACAAAATTCTCTTATATTCTCCAAAAATCATATACATCAAGGACATTATTCCTATGATATTGTAAATATTTTTACATGCTGATTAAACGATATATTATTTTGTAATATAGATAGGCAATGACTAATCCAATAATAAAAATATCCCTGTATTCGATAGATAAACATTTGTTAATTATTGATTAAACAGTTCGTTAACTTTCCAAATATAGAAATCGATATAAACATAATCAAAATAAAGACTGTTATACACATGGATCAAAACCAGCATTTTAAAACAATAAAAAACAAAGAAAGAAATTTGCAGGAAGCTAATATTATTAGAAGTATAATGTGACTATGCATAGAAACGGTTATTATATTATGTACATTAGATTGTATTATTGCCATAATTATTTATCTTTTCAATAATATATGATACATAAAAAAAAATGCATAAAAAATATAAAATAATTATAAAATGGACGTACCTAACATCAGAGTCTTTACAACTTCGAGCAGCAGATACACGACTAAATAATATTTTGGCTAGATTGTCAATTTTATTAGTAAATTGATAACTCTTTTCTTCGTCACTATCTTCGTCTTCGATACTTGCGCTTCTTCCACGCCTAAAAGTACTAAAAGTACTTCGAGCAGAGACTATAGCCTCAGAATCGAGTTCAATGGCACTTTGAGTTCTTCGATTGATAGCACGACGTTTCCGACGTGTTTTCGGACGTTCCTGCCAAAATCTATCATGTCCTGTGACATCTGATTCTTTATGATCATCATCTCTTTTATTTAAATTCTGATATAAATTGAACATTTTAAATTCAACAAATTGAATTCTTTATATATATTTATTATTAATTCTTTTTATTAATCTTCTTTATTATTAATTCTTTATTTATATTTTTAAATAAATGATGTGAATTACGTGTATATGTTATTTTAAATAATTTTTAATTTCTCTTTCTTTCTTAGTGATAATATTATTGCGCTGTTTTTTTTTTAACACAAAAGCATTGAATGTATTTATAGCATATTTATGTACACAAAATAATTCACTAAATATATTATTTTATATGGAATAATATATTTTAGAAAATCGTATTTCTGTGTGATAATATATAATATTCGAAACAATTTTTTTAGTTATTTGCGCATAAACAAATTTAAACGTCATGAAGTAAAGAAAAATTGATTTTCTACGAAACTTTTTTGTTTTCGTGTATGCATGATTAGCGAACGATCATATTCGCAATTTCTCCACATCTTGATTACGTACATAAGTAACATTATAATAAATATAATATAATTTGATAATTATTTTTTTGCTGTTTTATAATTTCGTTAAGCATTTATATTTACAGTTTAATAGATATTGACAATTTTATCATTTTTATATTTGGCGATTAATTATTTCATTATTGTTGAATTTATTTATTGATTAGCTTAAAAAATGAAAATTTATATTCGTATTTCTATTTGATATATATTGTATATACATATATATATGTATGTATATATATTTATAATTTATATATGTTTAATGATTGCAAAATCACTGATAAAAATAAGAGATTAATTAAGAATAATTCGTACAAAATATGAAGTAAACGATTTATACAAATAAATAAAACAATAATACGATAATACGTGATAGTATAAACCGAATATACCGTACTATCACCTAGTAAGGAAGACGACCGAATACTGAATACTGAATATCCGATAAAGCTTCGTGCTAGTTTAGATCCCCCAGTTTGACATAGATTCGCTGGCCCAGCTGATTTTTACTTCGATTGCTGTAACTGCGCGTTTGCATTTCTACATTTTCAATAGATATATTGTGAATTAAACCATTTTTATTTTTTAATATTTAAATAATATAATTATTGCATTCGTTGTATATAATTTATCATTTATTATTAATAATTTGTATCATCTTACAACATTTGGTATCGTGATATTGTTACAATTATTAAATTATGATTATTACGATAGGAATTTTTTTATTTTTTTCTTTATTATTTCTTTATTATTGAAATACCAAGATAATATAATGAAGCATAATGTTTACAATGAAACTTGAAAAGAGATTTAGAAATTTCTTTACTCATAAAATATATAAAAAAAAAAATTTATAAAAATGATTCAAAGTTTCATATTTTTCTATTTTGTTTTTATATATGCTTTTAATTTATAAGCATTCCTCATTGCGTTATTATGACGTAATAACAGAATTAGAAATGTAAATATGAATCCGATTAAATTTAATTAAAAGTAGGGCATGTTTTAGATCCCTTTCGATTCTTTTGCTGAACTTAAAGATTATACATACACATGCGTGAATTTTAAACATCGCAGTTTTATGGCTGCTCTCAGGGACATTTAAAAAAAACAATTGTTAAACAATTGTTGTTTGATTATTCAAAGAATAATTGCTTGATGAAATTAAAAAAAATTTAATCTTATCAATTCTGTTTAAAAATATTTCTTTATTTATTTGTATAAGTTTTAGAAATTAATAATATTATTATTATATATAATAATTTAATCAGTTTATATTATAATAATAATATTATTAATAAATATTAATAATATTTATAAATTAATAAGCATAATAATAAATAAATATATTTATAAATAATAAATAATAAATACTAATAAATCAATTCAGAATATCAGAATAATATATTATTAATAAACATAAAATTAATATTATTTTTAATTTTTATAATAAATAGATTTTATTATTTTTCATTAAAAAAAATTTTTAATACATTATGTTTGCAGTTATTATATGAAAATAAATACAAGCATTAATAGATAGTATCAATAAATAATTAATAAAAAATGATTGTGTCAATATTCAAATTTTAATAAAATAATTTTCCAGTATGTAGCCATAATTCTCTAGTATCTAGATTTATTATATAAAAATGATTAACAAAATGTTATTATATAAAAAAATATTTAAAAAGTTGATAATGCATTTTAATTTATAATATAATATAAAAAATTAAATTATAATTTAGAAGAATGAAAAAGAAAATTAATTGCAAAGAATAATTAACAGTTGAACAAGTAAATAACTTTTTTAATTATTTTTTAGTTTAATTTAATTAATAATAATAGATTTACTTTAATTAATTTTAATAACTATTAATTTATATAATTTATATAAAATGAAATTAAAGAAAATATACAAAAGAAAAATGTAGTAATATTTTTTGAAAAATTTGATTTCAAGAGAATATAAATAAAAAAAAGGGAAAGAAAAATTTAAATTTCTTTTAAAAAGATATAAACAATATAAAATAAAAATTGAAATGAAGAAATTTCATCTGAATAAATTCATCAATATAATATCAATATAATATCATCATATCATCATATATTCACACAATAATTATTTATTTTTCTATATTTACTTAGAAAATAATTTTTATATTTTTTTATTTATTTTTAAATTAAAAAAGTAATTAGTTAAGTTATTGAAGCAAATTAAGTATTGATGTGTAATTACATAAATAAAGAAACAATTTTAATAATTATGTTTCCAATTTTATAAATATTTTTTGTTATCTTTTCATTCATATGAAAAAATGTAATATTATAATAATTATATTTTTAATTTTATATTATATATTATATTAAATATTATTTATATCTTATTAAGAAGTTTACCATATAGCTTGCCATAATCATAATTTTTAAAATACAAATAATTTTTTAAAATAATTTAAATATTCATGAAATTGAAATATTCATGAAAGTTTTATAGTTGTATAATATTATATAAAATAACATAAATTAATAAAAATATTATTTCTTTATATATATATGATTTAATAATAATTAATAATATCAATTTCAAAGTATTGAAACATAATGAATTATCAATATATTATTGCAAAAGGAATTCATTATTATTTTTATATTTAGAAAGAAGGAGATCTATTTTTAAATTCTTGTTTATTACATTCATAATAGTATATATACATATCAATGAGATTTGTTTAACTTTTCTCGAGCAAGTAAAATTTTAAATTGTAATGGCCAACTGTTTAATGGACGCCTATTGTATATCTATTATAGAATCATACTTGTTTTATTATTAAAAAAATTATATATGTTTAAAATTAATTTAAAATCATGTTATTACCTCTGATACAAAATTTAAAGCTTCACGTCGAGAAAATTCATATTCAGCACGGGGACCCCATTTAAATTCTATTTTAATTGAATCATTTTGTTCCAGTATAGTTTTATCAAGATATTTTTGTGCAACAAAGAGCTATAAAATAAATTTTAATTCAATATCAATTTTATATTTGATTTATTCAATTAATTTTCTTATATTTTCTTTTTTTTAGTTTTTTACCTCATTTATCAAATACTTAACATTACCAAAGTAAGGATGATAATGATTGTCTAAATAGGAAATATCTAAATTAGTAAGAAAATCCCATAATGATTCTGAAATAATTTTACATTACATTAAAGATAAGATCATTTTTAAATAATTCTATATATTTCATTGTTATAAACAGCATTATTACCTTCAGTACAGGATTCTTCTTGCATGAAGATATGAGTGAGTACTATAAATAATAATACTTGTTGGCTACTTTCTGTTGCACATGGATAAATATGTGGTAATTCATTTTTTATTTCGTTTACTAGCATATATTTATTACCTTCAAGTTCTATCAATTGATATCCAAAAATCTATGAACATATAAGTATATGCATATGCACGATATTAATTAAAATATTAAATAAATTTTAATTTTGTTTATACCTTTGACAAAAGATCTTTTGTTTTGTTCATTATTCTAGAAAAATGTTTTCCTTGATTGTCAAAAACATTTTTAATTATACGAGTTTTATTGACAATTTGTTTTTCTCTATCTAATGTAAAAAAGTATCGTATCAGGTTATTAATAAAGCGATTATCTTCTTCAAAAATTATATAATCAGAAAAGTTTTGCGATTTTTCATTAATATATGATATATTTGTACTTGTACTTGGAATAGGTTGAGAAAGAGTAGTAATATTATTCTTTTTTTTGACGATTGATTGTGATAAGTTCTTTTGTTGATTTTTTCCATGATTTCGTAGTAAACCTTAAAAAAATATTTATAAATTTTATGTATATATTATGATAAATTATATATTTCTTACTCATGAAGTATGATAAAGAAGTGTTATAGAATTATTTTTATTTTTTATAAATAAGATTCAGGATATATATAAAATGTTTCACGTTGCCATTCAAAATTTTATTATAATTTTCTATTGTAATGACATCTACCTATCGTTAAGAATGATATAAACTTTCTTTTTGTGTTTGAAGGAATTTGAAGGACATAACCACAAACGAGGTAAAAAATAGATTTTTTATGAATAGGACTTTTTGTTCTATGTTCTAAAATATATACGTAAAAATATGTAAAAGTCATAAAAGTCATATTTATTTTTTAAAATTTAAAACAGTAAATGTAGAAATTTTAAATTCGAAATATTAAAACTGCTGACTAATTATCATCTAAATTAATTAATAAAGAAAACAGAAATAAAAATATAACTATAGATATAATTTTTATCATATATGTAATCCTTATACATAAGATATCCCAAAAATATGAAAACATTCATTAATTATAAATTTCAAGCAACATTTTCTTTTGCAAAAACTTTTGTTATGGTTTTATTAAAGAATTATTAACAAAAAGCATTGACCAATCATGGAGCGCATAGCTTAATCAAACCATTAAATGATAGCGTGTTACCGATCGAGTACAATTAAGTTCAAGCAATATACATCGAAAAAAGTGTGTTAAATATAACAAATATTTTTTTATGAATAAAAATTATATCGAATTATATCACAACAATGAATAAACTATAATATTCAATATACTTCGATATGTATTGCTTGGATTTGTTAATTGATGATATATTGCTTGACTAAACTATGCGTTTTGTGATTGGCCAATATATATATACAAAGTATCCCAAAAATGTGAGAACATCGATTGCTTCAGAAAATTTCTGAGATAATTTTAAATAAAATTTTTTTTTGCAAAAACTTTCGTTTCGTTTTGTTTCAAGTTATTGTATATAGAATTATTATATTCATGAAATATCTTTAAAGGATCTAAAAACAAATACATGGTTATTTATTAACAGATTCATTATAAGCAATTGAAATTTTATATTATTATAATTTAAAAAATAAGACGAAGCAAGATATAAATAAAAAGAGATCACTGTATCTCTGTTACTATCAGTGTCTTGCTTTATTTAATATGAACTTAAATTGTTTGTAATTTAATAAATAATTAATAAATAAATTTATTTTATATTTTATATAAAATTTTATATAAATTTCAATTTTATATAAATTTCAATTGACATTTTTGTATGTTTTTGTTTATTTTGACCTGTAGAATCAATTTTTTAAAGATAATAAATATATTAATTCTGTATAGATATATTAATATAATTATAGGTAATCCTGCTATAACACGGTAGATAGATTCCTAGAAAATGCCGTATTGTGTGAAACCGTGTTATATGAAATCCAGAGCCAGTACAACAAGGGAGATTATGTTCCGAAAACTTATTAAAAACAAACATTTTTTTTTTAATTTCATATAAGGAACTTTATTAAAAATATAAATGTATACTAATGTATAATACAAAACGAAAAGAAACAAAAAATATTATTTTCATTTAATGCGATCTTAATTTCCTCCTCATCACAATCAAACGAGAACGTTTTTTCGGTTGAATGATATCATCTTCACTTTCAAAACTTTTTTCTTTATTTAGATTTTTTGCACCTTCTATCCTCTTTAAAAAATCTGTAATTTTGGTTTGTTTGCTGGTTCTTACAAGATCATTGTAGATTTCACAATATGGAAATAAACAATTTTGCAGTTCCTTTTTGAATTTTTGGCTTCTTTCAGCGGAAGGGTCTGCATTCAAGAAAAATGATTCAAGATTTTCAGCTAAGTTTACTTCTTGTAATTTTTTTAGTGATTGTGAATTATTAACTTTAGAATCTTCATCAGTACTATTGTCCTCAGAATCGAAGATAATTTGATTTACAGCTTCGGATTCCATTTCCATCAAATCCGCTTCGTTAACTTCTTCTTCCACTAATAAATTTTGAACTTCCTCAATAGCCATATTCACAAAAAATCCTCCGATTGATTTAGCAAGTTCTAATATGGTATTCTATATTCTAATACCAATTTCATTTTCTGACGATTTAAGCACGTTTTCTATTTCAACTGAAAATGACCATATCTTCTTCCAACATGCATTTAACGTTGATATTTTTAGTTTTTTCAGCGACAAAGATGTAATGTCGATGCAGTGCTTAATTGAAAATTGCTTCCATTACATTAATTGATTTCGAATCGGTTATATCTAAAATCCACTGTAATGCTCTTCATATGTAATAAATTTTAAAAGTATAAATAATATCTTAATCTAATAGTTGGAACAACAAAGTAGTATTAAATGGTAGGAACATTATTTTGACGTTGGGATGATTCAAATCTTGTGGGTAACATGGAGGATTATCATTAGATACTTATTATCATTAGATACTTATTACTATTAAGTAATAGCACCTTGAAACTCAAATTTTTTTGCTTTAAATAATTTTCAACATTTTGCATAAAAAAATTTAGAAATCAATTTTTAAATAAATTTCCAGTTACTCAAGCCCTTGGGTTTGTTTTCCAATATATCGATAAAGTGTTTTTATTTATACTTTTACGCACGTGGATTTAAAGATCTATAAACTAGCAAGGGTTTTGTCATAAAGTCCCCCGACACATTACAAAAATAGTGTTATACAATTTTTAGACACCTTAAATCTGAGTGCAATTTTTTTTTTTTCAATATAAAGGTTCTATTGGGCATTTTTTTTCATCAAAGCCTAGTTTCATCGGCATTGAAAACTTGATCTGCTTGTGTATCCTTGCTCTTCTATAATGTTTTGTATTTTTTTTAGATAGGCTTTATAATCAGTCGACATAGATTGAATTCTTATGCTATGAATTGCAAAACGCTTTTTGAATTTTTCGAATCAACCTTTACTTGCTACAGAATCTGGATTGATAGAGAATTCCCCATGTTCTTTAAGATGTTTATAAATTTTAAGTGCTTTTTGTTTAATGATATTACTATTTTTTTTTAATAACTATCACCAATCCAAATGTTGAGTGTCTTTCCCATTTTCTCAATTATTGGCGTCCACAGACGAATTGCATATTTTGCGAATATCGAAAATGCAGTAATTGCATTTTTTATTTCTTTTTCATTTTTCTTAATAGTCCGAGCTGTTGCTTCATTAATTAAAACTTTTTCCTATGAGATGCTTTTTCTCCTTTTAAAAGACAATCCAAGATTTGTATCTTTAGATTTTTTTTCTACAGAAATAAATTTTTTCTTCAACTTTGTTTTTTTCTTAAATTTCGTTTCTTTATCAGACATAACTTGGGATTGAAAATTAATTTTCCAAAAATTAATCTTAAAGATGAAAAAATCATTCTTTAACATATCGCAGATAACTCGACGCAAATAGTCGCTTGAGACATTTTTGTTTCCAAGAGATAAGAAAGAAAAGAACTTTCTGTCTGCAGACCCTTGGCAGCAATTGCATTTTATAACGATCGATACGATATCGCATTGCACTTTATCCATTTTGGATACGATGATACTTTCTGCAACACTGTATCTTTGAGACAATAAAGCTCATCGTGGATGGTATGTAAACTGTGCATTTCCGCTATAATATTAGAATAGAATTATAAATGAATAAATTATAATTTGTTTATATATTTTCATGAAAAGCCACTATAATTCATTATTCCTTCTCGTCATTATTTTAAGATAGTTTTTAAATGTATTAAACAAAAATTATGTTATCTAGTGCTGTAGAAGCACAATGTTGTACAAACAAAGGTTCCTACAATTTATCATATCGTGTTATAGCGAAACCGTGTAGTAAGATGCCATGCTAGGACAGTTATCTGTATATTGCATTATTAGAAGATTTGACGAATTTTTACTTCTTATTAATAATCAAATTTTCAAATATAAATTTTATTTATATTAAATAAAATATCTTAAATTTATTTTAAAAAATTTGTTTAAATATTATATTATTATTATATATATTATAATTATAATAAAAAAATTATTTATAAAATTGTCATTTTTTTATTTTGATCCTTAATTTTGAGCTTGAAATATATTGTTAAGTTCAAAATTATAACTTTAATTTAATTTATAACTTTTCCTTATTAATATTACCATCACTTAGCTTTAATTCTCAAAATATTTGCAAAAAACTTTTCATGAATCTATTTATCTTATGAATACATTCAATATGATATTATACATATATTGATGAATGCTAATATAGATAATATAATTATTATATTAATATAATTATAGATAAATAATTTATTCTTAATGATCATTCCTTAATTATAATTTAATTTAAACAATAAAGAACAAAATTAATGGGTTATAGATTAAATTAGATTAGATTTTATTGTTTAATGAAAATTGTATTCTTATAAGAAAATTTAAAGAAATATAGATTTAAAATTTCTAAAAAGACGTAATTGTCAAAATATATTCTAGAATAATTTCATATGTATTGTATATATATTACATTTCTAATTTAATAAAATTTAAATTTAATTTTACTTAAGAAAATATTTGATGAGATGATTTTCTTATTAGAAGACCTAAAGATTATATTTATGTTTGATTATTTTCATATATACAGACATATAAATATATATATATATATATAATACATAAGCTTTTTGATATCGGTTTTTTATATCACATAAAAAAATCATAAATTAAATATAAAAGTAGATCAATCAAAATAAAATTTATAGTTCAGATTTTTAAAGCTTTTTCATATTATTTACATTGAGATTCATGTAATAAGATTGTAATGAGATTCATATCATTACAGATTGATCATTACAGGATTGTTCATTTTGGCATTAGGAATTATAAATTACTGTATCAAATTATAATGACAAAATATCTATAAAATTAATCATCTAAAACTATTTAAAATAACGATAAGAAAATGAAATTTAGATTATATGTTAATGACATTTTATAATTATATATAATATAATATATAATAAATTTTCTATATAATATAATATAATTTTAAATAATAATAATATAATATAATTTTTATAAAAAATAATTATTACCTATAATATATTTTTTAATATTAATTATCATATAATAATTAAGATATATAGAAAAAAAGGAATTATTTTTGATTTCTGTATTCTTTGAGATTAATTTTTTTTTTAATTTATGATTTTCAGAAAAAGTCAAAAATTAAAGATTCATTAATTTTTTTTCTTTGATAAAGGATAAAATTTTTTATTTTTTTTTTAATTTTTATTTTTAATTTCTAAATTTTTAAAGAATTTTTTTTT